AGTTATTCAAAAAAAAACTACAATTGTAAAGATATTCAGATTGAGACTGTGAGAAATGTTATGTTATGTTTGGTCTTTATATATAACGACTTAAAAGACCTACTGTGCCCCCTTCTGTCGCGAATGTAGCAAGGAAATAGTCTTGATGTCTATACCCAGACAGCACAAAGACATCTTTAAGACGTCCATAAGACGTCTGTCAGAGACATGCCAGACGTCTATAAGACGTCTTATGACGCCGGCCAGACGTCTTAAAGACATCTTTAAGACGTCTGATGTTACAAAAGGTAACGTTCTTAAGACATCTTGAATATGTCTGTTTTTCGACATTGTTAAGACGTACTCTCGGATTTAGTTTTAAAAGCTTTCCTAAATTCCTTCTATACAAAATAAACACATATTTTCTATAAACATTATTATTAACAAAATACAGAAACATTTCGTAAAAAAAAAGTAATATTACAAATTATTTTTTTTTATTCTTCCTCCATTAGTGGTTAACCTTCTATCTGATGCTTTTCTGAGCCAGTCTGGGTTGCAATAATTTTAACTGCGCTGTGTAAAATATTATGCATTATAGCTCACTCTGTCAAATTCGCTTAAATAGGATTTTCAGTAGATAGTAGATACTTTCAACTCTAATGCAGATAATTTACATCCGATGAAGCTTCTAAGTCAGCTCTAGACGCCTAGACGTACTTAAAACACTAATAAGGGTTCTTCTATTTGGTTTTTCAGTATATGCAGTAAACTTTTATGCTTATAAATTCAAAGTAATTCACGGCACAAGACACAAATAAAAAAATCAACGAATAACGAACAAAAACTAGGTCTGTGCAAAAACTAACCTCGGCTTTCACCTTTAACAAAATGACAACGAAAGGACAACGCAGAACGCCACGAACCACGGAACCCCAATAATACTCATATTCAGATACACGTCCTTGTTTAAATTCTACTGTTGAAAAAAGACAAAGCATAATAAAAACATTCGCTTCGATCGTTGAACCAAGTTCCGGTCAAGTTGAAAGAGCGCGTAATTCAATTTTTCTTAATATGTTTTAATTGTTAATTTTATTTAGAGTTATATTTATTATTATTATTTTTATGTTATCAAATATTTACTTACTCTAATGAACAAATGCTCCTAAATAAATAAAAAAAAATAAGTAAATTATGTAAATTAATAAAAAAAATTATATTTTGTGAAATTATAAATGACAGGTAAGCCAGTACTTTTTTTAATGTTACCATTATTTTTTATATTTTTTAAATAGATAGACATTTAAAAGACGTCTTTAAGACGTCTATTTATGTGTCCTAAAAGACGTCTTTGTAAAGACGTCTTTTTTAGGTCTTTAGGCGTTCAGTCATGACTACGACATAAAACAGACGTCTTTAAGATGTCGTGTGCTGTCTGGGTAACGACCCTTCCAATCATATGTTCTCAAGGGAGTGTGGGATTTGGATTTGGAGTAGCTTCAAGTTAGATAGATTGCAATCTTCTATTTGGTATGTTTCTAAGTATAGTGCTCTGGGATTCTGGACTGCTACATATTTAGTCAGAATGTGAATGGAAGTTTCGTCCTCCTCCTTACAGAATCTGCACTTACTATCTTATTCTTTTACTACTCTCAGTTTACTGGGGTATCCTTTGAGTCGACAATGCCCAGTAGGGATCCCTGGTACAATACTTAGCCTGTTTTTGCTCAGGCAGATACAGGCTTTCGATCTTATATGGTTATTTTTGTAACCTACCTAATGTACGTAGGAACTTCCAGAGGGGAATTGTCTAAAATTAAATGTTGACAAACAAGTTCAACATTTATTTATTTATGATTTATAATTCGTTTTCCGAATCAATTTTAAGGTATTGTATAACGATATGGGGTGGTACTTTTAAAAGTACGTTACAAAATCTGCAAACTACATTAAATACATTAATTAAAATATTATTTAAAAAGGATAGACTATATTCAACTCAACTACTATATCAAGAATTAAACATTTTTACTTTAAGACAATTATATACATATCAGTGTCTTCAAAGGGTATACAGAGATCAGGATAAACTACACAAGGTTTCATCAAAAACCAGAGCAACTACAAATTTAAATTTGAATGTAGACCTATTTCAAAAAACGGTAACACAAAGATCTCTCTTTTATTTTGGCCTCAAATTGTTTAATCTTCTCCCTTTATCAACGAAACAAATTAACTAAATTTAAAACTGAAATCAAGGAATTGATCCAAACTTCCCCAGATATGTTTAAAATATTTTAAATAAAACTGCAAATAACGTACATTATTTCTGGTGTCTTTTCAAGTATTTTTTACAATTTTTTAGCGTTAACTTCTGTTTAACTATACTACAGGAGAAAGTTTTAAACCTATCTCACTTTTTGGACCTGTCTTGCTTTAGTTTCCTATTACTCCTATTACTGAGTCGTTTTTCTTTTTAATTTTTTTTTTGTACTTTTAAAACAATTTATTATTGTATTTTTTTTATGGAAGGGATCACAAAAGACAGGCATATATGCCTAGGTACGATCCCCTCCATGGTTAAAAAAATAAAAAAAAAACTTATAATCTGGTACGTAATATATTTGATTTGATTTGATTTGATTTGATTTGAATTTCAAAGAACTCGTTTTAAATACAATTTTTAAATTGTTCAAGTACTTCACAAAAAAAATTATCCTGCGGCTTATGATGAATTCATAAATAAATAAACTAAAAAACTAGATAGATGCATGAACCCAAAAATGAATAATAAATTCATCAATAGATGGCACCATAGATTAGGAGAAAGTGAATAGATGGGAAACTCGATGGTAAAATTCTGAGGCGATGTGCTGCCATCTATCAAATTGGAGTGGTACTAAATTTAATATGACAGCCAGTGGCGGGCTTTTTGAAATTTAACTTTCTGATGGCTGAGCAAAAATGTTATGAAGAAACTCAAACGAAAAATAAATTGGAAAAAAATTTGACTAGGTTCAAAACATAAAACAACCATATTGACTGTTTTATGATTTGAAATTAGTCAAATATTTTTCCAATTTATATTTTTATCTGATTTTATTTCATTATATTTTTACATTAATTTCAAACTATAATTTATCTATTTAAACATGGAAATACTCAGACAAATATTCATTTACATCATTTAAATAATTAAATATTTATAAAAGTTTTGAAACTTGGAGTGGCAAATAAGTTTGAAAAAATTGAAGTTAAAGCATCGTCCTTTTGGTGTCTTACTATCAAGGCGAATTAGTTTGAGTGTGGATAAATTTTGCATAATTAATATGTGGTATAAATTACATCACTACCAATATCTGGGAGTTCTTTATTCTTCATTGCTAAAACCCATTTTCCCATCGTTTAAAAACATGCTTAAAACTGGAATCCAATTCACCTTCAACTGCAACAGCCATTTGAAGTTTTGCTGACAACTGACATTTCGATACGAGCACCATCCCGTTAATTGAAGTGGTACTAAATTACTTTCCTCATGTTTTTCCATTTGAGTTACAAGCCCCTGGATGGCACGGTCAGTCATTAGCATGGTACCAGGAGAAGGACGATTTGCGCAAGATGATTAGCAAATATTGTAAAATATGTAATTTTTTTTCTTTTAAAAGAAATCCTACAATCTCAGAATAATTTTTTGGAAGTCCTAAATCTCTGAATAAATCATTCAGTTTTAATTGAGAAAATAGTTGCGGTTCGCTGCCTCGTGAAGTAGATAATTCAAAAACATCAATCTCTGTACCTGTTGAAGATTTGGATTTGACACTAAACTACAATACTTTAGGTGGAATAGGTGCAGGTATATCAGCATCATGTGGAACTGGGCTTATTGCCGACGGAAGATTGGGATAGTTAATATACTTTAAAGTTTTTGTGTTGTTGTGTCTCTTACTATCACAAAGACAAAAATAGCAGTCGTCCGTGTGATTTCTCGGTACTCTCCAGACCACTAGTACCCCAAATTGTTTTTGTAAACTAATGAATCAAGGCTTCTTGGCAGATCTTGCAGATAATAAGTGTCGCCCACAGTTCATCTTGATCTCCAAGTTTCACTTTAAAATAAGCAAAAATTCATTTTTTAAAAATCAGTAATGTTTCTTTTAAACTTTATTACAATGAACTATCTACAAAAATAACAAAAGTCATCAGACTTATTTTTCCAACACCTACTAGACTCTTTTTATGGAAAGTGCGCAATAAAACACTGATAGAACTAAGAGAAACAACATCTGTTTGAGTGCCACGTTGACACTAAATTATATTGGTTTCAAAGCTTTGTTTGTTCTAAATGAAACGAGTGTGCTGAAACCTAGAAATCTCCGGCAATTTACAAGCGTGTCTCAAAGTTTCGAACAAAATAAAGGAATTTAATTTTAATTTTCTAAGAATATTCAGAGATATTGGTTTACAAAAAAAATTTACGTGATGGAAGCAGAAATGGGGTAGTTCAGTTAAATATAATTCCAAATTAAGCGAAGAAAGTTAAAACGGCTTTATCAAAAATTATTCGCAGGACTGTAAATTATTCATCTTTTTGTGTCTTTATTGGATGCTGAGAGATGAAACGCTTTATTAATATTCCGGAAACTTTCGAACATTCTGTATAACAAACTTAAGCTGTTAATAACAGTAAACCGAGTCAATGTAAATAAACGGATTCGCAGTAAAGGGAGAAACCTAATAGGGTTATCGAAACTAGTACATATATATAGGAAACTATCATTTTACAAGAAAAAATATATTCACGCTTCAATAGACCTTTCGCAATGGCGGTTTGTAAACAGACACAGAGACGCTACACTGCCAGGAGCTTAAATTGTTGACAAGACACACAAACTTATCTTGTAGGTATGAAAAAATTAATTATTTACTTTGAACGAATTCAGTTTAAATTTAATTATTTGGAATTAGGAATAGGTGTGAGAGTGCGTTCAACTTTGTAAATGTAATTTTCCGAATAAATTATGAACGAAGAAAAAGTGCCATTATTGGGGCCAGGACCTTCCAGGAGACCTATCAAATTTGATGAACCGGTAAGTCATGTGTTTAAAAAACCTTTAATAGTGTTTCATATTTTTAGGAATTAGTGAAGGTAATGAAAGGGTCATTTCATATCAAATCAAACAAAATAAAAAGGGGTATGGCAGAACATCTCACCAATTTTGATAAAATTTGTTACACGGATTTTTTTTTCTGATTAGTAGTTTTATTTATTTTCAAAAATCGTCCAGCACACTTTCACAAAAATTAGAATATCTTCACATATTTTCATTTGTTTTTTTTTTAATTAAAAAAAAAAACACATTTTTTATTTTTCTCAAAAAAGTCATTTTAAATTTTTTGGCAAAAAAATATTTTTTTATCAATGCTTTGGCAAAATATGTGCCAAATTTCATGGAGAAATCATGGGTTCAGTATGAAAAAAAATAAAAACAATAAGTAAACGTAAAAATCTAATTAAAAATCTGATGTGTCCAACACATGACTTTCCTATCTAGTTATTATAGGCTTTTTTCCAGTTATTTTTTACAACCCATTGCAGCACCTCTATAAATGTTTAGAGGATAAACTAAATATTTACATTTTTCCACATACATCTAACTCGAAACATTTTTCTATAGATATTCATTAAAAACGAAAATACTGAAAAATTTAAATTTAGCACTCTTCCTCCAATTTTTCTATTACGGTCCATTTTAGAAAAATCGTGTAAAAAATAAAAATTATAGAGATCGATATCGCAAACAACTTTTAGTTTAACAATTTTCTTAAAAATCAGAATTTTGCTAATTTGGCCAAATTCCTCGAATACGGACCATTTCAGGAAAATTTGGCATAGAACAAAAATTATAGATAATAATATTAGAAATATATTTTATTTAAACAATTTTCTTCTCCAAACATAAATAACAAATATATTCCATAAAATATAAAAACGACTTCCTATAAAGTACCCCCAAATTTCACCTCAGGCCAAAATAAAACTTTAGTTTAAAATTTAATCTTTTTTCCTTCGTCCGTTTTTGAGTTTTCTTCAAAATTCGTAATTTACACATTTTCTCAATACCTCGAATATGGTCCATTTTAGAGAAATTATGAACAATATAAAAATTATAGAGAAATATATTACAAACAACTTTTATTTGAACAATTTTTATAAAAAATTAATTTTTTTCATTTTGTTAAATTTCTCGAATACGGATCATTTCAGGAACATTTTGTATAAAATAAAAATTATAGATAATAAAATTATAAGTAACTTTTATTTAAATAATTTTCTTTTCCAAACGTAAATAACAGATATATTCCATCAAATATAAAAACGGCCTCCCATAAAGTACCCCCCTAGATGTTCCGACTTCATCCAAAATCTAATCATTTCACCTCAGGCTGAAATAAAACTTAAATTTTAAATTTAATATTTTTCCTTTATCCGTTTTCGAGTTTTCTTCAAAATTCAAAATTTACACATTTTCTCAAATATCTCGAATACGGTTTATTTTAGAGAAATTATGTATCAAATAAAAATGATAGAAAATTATATTACAAACAACTTTTATTTAAACAATTTTTATAAATAATTATTTTTTTTTACATTTTGTTAAATTTCTCGAATACGGACCATTTTAGGAAAATTTTGTATAGATCAAAAATTATAGATAATGATATTGTAAGTAACTTTTATTTAAAGAGTTTTATTTTCCAAACGTAAATAACAGATATAATCGATAAAAAATAATTTCGTTGTAATAAAGTCAATTGTTGAGATGATCCTTTCGAAATTATTTTCTCTATCTTTATTACTTCCATAAATTAAGTACGTAGAGTAGGATGTAGTAATTTTATAAAAACATATTCAACTTTTTAGGAATCGTCCGGTAGCTCAGATTCTTTATCTGTTACATTACAATCGATCGAAGCAAAATCCTATGGGACCAGTTTAAGTTTTGCAGGAAAAATTGTACAAATAGAAGACAGAATCACCTATACTTGGAATAACATCAATGTGTTTGTTAATTGCGGTGACAAATCCAAGAGGAAATTTTTGTGTTTTGGTAAAAGAACAGACGTTGGTGAAGAGAGAAAACATATTTTAAGAAATGGTAAGTTTCACAGTATGTGTTCTTTCTAATTATTGTCTTTTCATTTTCCATTTATTTTCTCAAAGTATATTGGAGTCACTGTATTTAGTATGCGATCTCCACTTTTATTTTTTAAATTTATATTTTATCACCTAATTTTACTTTATAGTGGTAGAGGTATACAGGGTGTCCCATTGGTGCGAAATTGTTCAATATTTCAATTTAAAAAATACATATTTTAAAAATATTTTAAATTTTTTAAATAAAACAACCTGTATTTTATTTTATTTTTAGAATGGTTTGGTACCCTAGAATAAAAATATTACAGTTTTGCCAAGCAATTATTAAATCATTTGTAAACCTACCTAAATTATGATCATTTATTTTGGGATCTGAATCATTCTCTTTGGGATCTGAATTTCATTAAAAAATCTACTAATTGGGTCCATGAGAAAATCGTTAAACTGTTAATTTTTTATGTATATTTAGCGATAATTCTTTACCACCTTGTGCAATTTCTATGATTCTTTTTTGTTGGTTAGGGGGTACCTCAGGGGTAGTCCCATATAAATTTGGTTAAGATACGGTGATGGCATCTGCACGATTTTGAAGTCGGTGTTTTAAAATTATTTTTAATATTTGTTTGAGTTTTTTTCCGTGAAATGGCTACTAATGTATACAGAATATATTATGTTTTGGAAAATGTATTTTACCTGTCTTCAAGTGGGGCCTCTAAGGCCAAAAATTTTTAGAGTTTTGTTTGAAAAATATAGTTTAAACATCTTCAGTTGAGCAGAATTAGCTGCAATTGGAACCAAATAATCGAATGAATGTTTTCAAATGAATTATAAGTTTCCTACTCTACAAATAAAATAATGCTGCCTAAGATTCGCTATATTTATAGACCGTATTAATTTTCAGTCACTCAAACATCTACATTTTACTTCTTTTAAAAACCTTTCCTGTTATTTCTATCAAACTAAAACCGTTTAAGAAAGTGTTTAACATCGCCTATTCAAACATGGTGAGTACACTTATTCAGATGAGTGAAAAAAATGTCATTCCCTTTACTTAGTGATGTTATTTTATCTTATTTAAAGATTATTGCACATCCTATAATTTCTTATATTACATCAAACACAAAGCATTATGTACTTTCAAAATTCTTGGAATTTAAAAACCTATTTGAAGTTAAAGTCTTGAGAACAGACCATGGTACCGATTTCACAATTTACCAGTTCAAGAAGAGAGGTAGAATATTCATGCACTCCAGAAAACAATTATAAAAATTAAAGTAGCATAGGAACAATTAACTGTTGAATATGCTGAATTCCATTTAGCCAAGTGTACTTAATACCGCAACATAAATTAAAAATCATAGAAACCCATGTAAAGAACTGAAGATGTGGTCATGCTAATAAGAAGCATATTTTAATAAAAATAAAGTAACCATATTTTAGCTCCTCAACTTAAAGTCATGTATAAACTACTAGAGAAGAATCTTCTTTTTAGCTCCACAGGTCTTAGTTTGGTCACCCTAAATAAAGGCTTAAGGATTCTAAGAATTTTAACCTCGGGGGGCATAAGCCCCCACAAAATGATGTACGTATAGTAAATCTAACTAAATGGGTACAGTACAAATTATAACCCTGGGGGGGCAGCATTACCTTTTTCTTCGTCATATGTAATTTAATCTACTTTTTAAGGAAACTCAGAAAAAATATTTGCTTTAATCTGAACATTTTCCTAGTTCTTTACTTAGTAGAAGGTTAACCATCAATAAAATCCAATATTCTTCATTTGTCACTCCAGGTCGTCAAATTCGACATCGCCCTCTTTGATCCCCTAATCGCCAATGAGCGGAGGTTGCCTCTGCTGATATTATGGAACCAACAAATTGTAGAATTAAACTATAGAACAAGAAATAAGTTTTTACCCAAAAAATTGTACCTAGTCCTTAATATCTGCACCTTTTCTAGATCGTAATATAATAAATTATTCGTTACATTAGAACACCATTTGAGAAACTAGAAATGGGTATTTAAGGTCAAATTTAAACCACGCGGTACCATAAATACATTTAAAGCACGCTGATATGTCCACCGCTGTCATCAAATGTAACAACAAACTAGTCTAAAGACCATTTGTATCCACTGATAGGTCTTTAGCTACTGTTGTTATTATAATACTATTAAGGGCAAATCAAAATAATTAAAAAAAAAATGAATTAAAAGAAAAAAAATGATTCCTTAATAGCATAGTCGAGCGGTTCTTGGCAATTAGTTTTAGACTCGTCTAGTCCTAAGGGACTAGAAATGCTCAGAATATCTCACTGGTTTTGGAAATGGAAGGAGAGATGAATAACAAGTATTAAACATTAATACATGTATATTTAAAATAAGTACAAAATTTGACTAATAGTCTCAAGAATGAATGAATAAAGTTTAATTTAGGGAATAAAGCACTACTTGATAATACGAGTACATCCAAACTTTTAATAAAAAAAAACCTATGATTTATGACTACTAAATAAACTTCCTATTGAAATATGTAGTTTGGACTTATTAACAACTAAAACTAGCACTGGACTGGAATAATAGGGTCCCGAAACAAGAGTTTTGGACCTCAGTCCTCACTCGAGTCTTTTGATTTCTGTCTAGTCTCTCTATATAAACCAAAAATTTACATGATAGGTACACTTGTTAGAATCCCAACGTTTTATGTAAGCTATTGACTACATTAATAACCTAATTGTTGACGTTATTGTAATACGTGTGTCCTTTTAAATTTATCATTTAAAACATTAAAATTACTGTTTTTAGAATTTTTGGTAAATTCTTTATATTTTTAAATAATAATGCCAATTATTACAAAAGGTTACTCAGAGTTACCTGATGTGAACACTTGAAGACATTTTTTTCCGCAGTTAGGTATTAATCCATTATACTACTACACAAAAATTTGACACTTCGACAGTTTGATATTACAAATGCATTTTTTTCTCTTGGATATACTTAGAACATCCAGACCGTCTTGAAGGGTCCGATTTTTTATTAGAGAGTAAACTACACAGTTGTCTCTAATGGGTTAAAACAATTACTGGAAATCCAAATTTACTAACTTCTTTTAAATATAAACAACTTGACTTAGGCAGATGTGCCTTTTTGCAAATTTTGAAGAAGAAGAAGGAAAGGTATTTTTATCGCGATACGTCAACGATGGTATTGTACTCAGTAGGTCGTCATTACTACTGAACACTTAAGTTTAACGTATCAAATTACCCTTGGTTCTTGTCATTACTTTGTTGGATTTGAATAAATTGGTTTGTTTTAAAAATATCAATACTTGTTCGTTTAAAACAGTGTCCAAAAAATTAAGAAAACACCAGAAGATTTTCTTACAGGAAAGCTGTGTATCTTTAAATATTTTCAAGATAATATAAACTATAGTATGGATAGCGGGAGTATAGAGTTGATGAAACTTGTTCTATATGTCGTACTAGAGTTTTACCAAAAGAAAATATTTCGATTCTTAAAGGTAGTTCTGTAATTTTAACCTCACAAAAATAAAAATGAATCGCAAAATCTACCACTAAATTTGAAAATTTCTCTGTGTTCTAATAGATATAAATATTCATTTTAGGTTGTTATTTTTCAATATATTAGTTGCTCTGTAACTTTTACAAAAAAATTTCTGATTACTATATACTCTATTTTTTAAATTATAGTTTAAATAATTTTGAAAGCCAAATTAATTAATTTTTATTCCCACTACTCAATAAAAAAGTAGTATTTAAACATTGACAAAGTAAATTCCCATAAATGTTTTGTGATAATCAGCCTCAAAACCATTAAACATTGCATATTGATTGGCGGGAGTTAATCTGTATCTGAAGCAATGAAGTGGAGAAGGGTAGAATAATAACTGTCAATAAAATAATATAGACACTATGCACAATTTAGTTTTGCGCATTTTGTAAACAAGATTCAGGGACAGTTTTAGAAGATTTTGTCCAACAATTATAAAATAGTACATCGGTAAATAATTAACAGGTATACTTTAATAGTAAATCGAAATCAAAGCACAAAAAATCACAAATATAAGCAAGCCAATAAAGAACCGACGCCAAAAAAGCTGACAATTGTCACAACAGAAACAAAAAACCAAAGCTGAACATGTTTTACTTTATATTTATTATAGATGTCTTCACTATATATTAGTTTATTTATAATTAAAAAACACCTTATACTTTAATAAGATTTATAACTTTTTATAGATGGAATGTATGCTGGCACCACATACTTTGATTACTACTCCGAGCAATTACTAATAGAGGGAGCGTGAAAACGAGTTTGTAGGCGATTGTTGTGTTAGCAACATCTGTAGAGGAAGTGAGGAAGCGGGCACAAGGGGGAAGGTAAACATCCTTCTTGTTCAGTGGCGTATCATTTATCTATAAAAACACAAAACACACATTGTCCAAACGTTTTAATTGTAAAAAAAACTAAATGATTTGCTAATTTTACTATATTTAAAAAGAATACCGTCTTATATGTGTCTAATGCAGGAAATGAAACAAAATCACTGTAACGGTCTAATTTTTTCAATTGAAGAATAAAACCTTAAAATCAATTTTATCATAAATAAATACAGTAGCGACTAGTTTCGGCCTTACAGGAACATCTTCAGGCCTGTATACAATAATCTTTAATTATTATAATATCTACAAGAGATGAGAATGAGCAATTACGAATGCATTTAAATTGCTCGGGATAACAAATAAAGCTGATAATGTAGTGGTATAGTCCCCGTCAAAGAAGGTCTAGATATGCTAAAGAGGACGGCGTTTTCTCTGTAAATCTGGAGAAAGTAAGGATGAAGGGAAGACGAATCTTGCTGGCTCAGGTGTAGATGAAAGATCCAGTAAATATCGTTACTTTCGTCAATTTTTTTATTCTCTCTCACCGGCACCGTTTCGGCTTTATCTTCGAAATTCATTTTTAAAAGGAAATAAAAGTAATCATTCATACAAGCATATAATAAAACAATATGAATTCATTATATTTAATAAGCTAATAAACGTTTGTTTCAATGAAAAAAACATATATGGGAATATAAGAAATATATAAAAAGATAAGATTAATATCAAAATCAATTTGAAAATACAACAGATAATGAAATGAAATAAATTAATACAAGTACAAATGGAAAGTTAATAACATACCTTCTGAAAGTAACACATTTTAAGTAGATATATGTTTAAAGAGTTTATTCCTGAACATAACTAATCTAACGTTTTTTCCTCTTTTTAATATTATGAGGGTTTTTGTAGTTGAAATGAAAATTATAATTTATTTTGGTCCTAATAAAAATTTAAACATCAAAGAGTAAAATACATAATAAAACTTTATAATCTTAAATCGTTATCAAAAATTATTAATGGTAAAACTTCAAACAATAATTAGATTCTTAAACAAATTTCTAGTTTTTGTTTTGCAAAAGACTTTTTTGCCTTCATCGGTTGCCTCTGCCACTTTTCTTTTAGTAGTTTCGAGGAGAATTTTTCCATGGAAACTAGTAGAACCATCAATTGATTGGTAAAATTTTGATATTTTGAGTCTGGTAAGTCTTGTTAAATTTTCTTCTTAGGAAGCTGTAACCTAATGGAGAACAAAAATTTAATGTTAGATCAAAACCTCTTAATTGAGAATTATATTTGCAAAGGCCGTTTTAAGAATATATTCAAAAGTTCTTGGAATCGTTGTTAACAGAAACCTGCAAAAAATATATCATTTTATTCCTAAAATATAAGATATCACACAATGCACATTCATATAATATCATTGTGCTAGAAAAATACTAGGTAGGTACTGAGACAATTTAAAAAAAGTGTTTCGAGAAACTCAACTTTTAATGTCATCATTGTACTTAACTTTTTTATTGCTAAATTATTAATAATTTCGTTTTGTGTAGTTCGTTGTGATTTGTATAATATATATTATAAAAACCTATCGTCAAAGTTAATGTGCCAAGTTTTTTTAATAATTATGTCCTTGTTATGGTAAAAACACATTTTTAAAATTTTCTGAATTTATGCTTTAAATTATTGTACAATTCAACTGACTAATTTTGTGTTTAAGTAAAGGTATATCTCTTTTTTTTTATAACAGTCTTTGTATATTGTTCTAACTTTTAAGATAATCAGAGAAAACAGTAAGACATCTTAATAAATCCTATTTCACCAACAAAAATGTAGAATAATTAAGCTCATATCAAACGAAAAAAGTCATTTTAGGATGTCCTAATAGGTTTTAACTTAAAAACTAAATAAAATGTATATTGCAACTGTGTTTAAATAAATGAATGTTTTTATACCTGACTATAGCACCAGACAAACGTTTTTTTAGATTATAATGATCTGCATAACTCAAAATAGTCAAAATCCACATTATTTAAGTTGTTCTAGTATTGTTTTAGCATAACGATGTAAACTCCAATAATAAATATTCACATTTTTTTGGGACGTTTTTTAAGGAAATTAAAAAAAACATGAATAATGTGATATTTTTGTTTAGTATTGTACTATATAATATAGTTCATTAGGTAGTGATTTAGAAGCAAATTATGTTCTATTTATAGAATAAAAAATCACTCATAATATCTAAATATTTATACCTATTTATATTTTGGACAGGAAGACTATTTTATGTTTTTGGCTCTGAATAGTTTTCTTAAGAATTTTAAAACCTTCCTTAGCTCTTTTGGGATATTCCATGCATATCTTAGAAGTTCATTTTGTTTAAACCTAAAACAAATTAAGTACAAAAAATGAAAATTTAAACAATACACAAAATTAGTCTTTTAGATTATTTAAAAAAAAATGTCCATAAAAAAATGGCTATGCCTTCTTCCTTAAATATTCTTTTTGAAATAAACTTACTTGCTGTTTTAGTATTTTAGTAGCAGATGAATATAGTGTAGAAGTAGTAACAGGATTGATTATTATACTTCTTTCGTCGAAATTGCATTTTTCTTTAATATTTTTCTCCCCTGAGGTCTATAATAAAAATGTTCATTAGCATAAAAAGTTATTCAGGTGGTCACTTGTTGAATTCCTATATTTTGGAACCATGTATTTCTTTCTCATATCAAGAAAAGGAAACCTAAAAAAATAACAATAAACTTTACAAAGATGTGATATTAAAATAATAAGTAATTAACCTTTACTATAATCATTATGAGACAGACGGATGAAGACGAACATAGCTGGAGTTTACTTGCTCTTAATTTTAATTTTTCTATAAGCAAATAAGAAAGTTAATTGCAAATTAAAGGTGATTGCCTAATGCACCGCCTCTGATAATTAGGTTGTGTCTGTACTTATGATATTATCTTGAAGAATCATTTTCAACAGGCCTTTTATACATAACGCATGTTTTTACCATAATATTAGAGATAATAAATCTTAAATATACATTTACAACCCTTACAACGTTATAAATAATAATATTTTCCGTAAAACACAAATAAGAAATTGACATGTGTCAGAAAGTGTCAGAACTGGCGCTCACAGAACACTTTTGGCGCTGTCAAACTTGGCAACGCTGATTAAATAAGCCAATTACAGAAGAGGTATTTTCCCCCTCGGGGGGAGTAGATGTTGCTAACAAAATTTAGCGCGGGGAAGGGGGGAAGACTCCCTCTAGTAGTAATTGCTCGGAGGATTACTATACGAGGCAAGAGAGAGGTCCGTCACGCCCAACATAGGGCGCGGCCATTTTGAACCCTGTGACACAGTTTACAGCTAAAGAATCAGATTGCTCACTCTGCGTCGGCACTTTGGATCTCAATGTATCAGTTTATACACTGTGCAACTCGGATAATACAATATATGACAACCGCCTATAATAAAACAGCAGTCTTCTGCGTATCTTGAATTTGTATCCCTGGAGTGGATGTTATTTTGGAACTTTCGACTGGTCCGAGTGAGCTAACTGATTCTTTAGCAATAAACTGTGACTTCAAAAATAATATTCACTGACACTGACAGCAGCAAGCAAAATATTAGGTGCGTTTTAATCATCCGCTTCTGCTTCCGGAATTGTCGGTTTAGTCGTTTTAACCTGTCAGATTAAAACAAGAAAACCGACAATTCCGAAGCAGAAGCGGATGATTAAAACGCACCTATTAAAAATATTGCGCCAAGATGTAGGCAACACGTAATAAAGGTTCAAAATGGTGGAGTTTTCTATCTCCTTTTAAAAGGCACTCAGAAAGCTGCGCAGTGCGACCATTCTCCGTATAGTAAAAGAAAATCAAAGTATGTGGCTGGCACGCTTCATGTATGTTCGACATACGACACTGCTCATGCCAACCTACAAACATGACTACCAACATATAAACTATAACAACTAACCATAGAACAACTAATCATAGAACAACTAATTATAGAACAACTAATCATAGAACAACTAATCATAGAACAATAACAACTAAGCAAAGCCAAACCTGGAATTTGTTTACTATGCTCTCCTTGTTAATTACGTGAGTAAGAGTGAAAGGTTGAATCATGCATAATTTCTACACTCCTCATAGATTCGCAGATGGTACCTTATCATTCTACCCTCTCTATTTCTTTAATCTGAGTTAATAATATGTTTTGTTCTGTGTGAAGGTCTGGCTCTAAAAGTTAATTATTTTGGTCTGAAGAATTAATATTTGTATCTATGAATTTAATATGCTATTCTTGCAGTGAATGGAATAGCGTACCCAGGAGAACTTTTAGCTGTATTAGGATCAAGTGGTTCTGGAAAGACCACTCTTTTGAATGCTTTAACTTACCGGTCTTCTAAAGAAATAACAATAACTGGTACAAGATGCATTAACGGGGTGCCAGTAAATTATAAAAAATTAACCGGTCTATCGGCATACGTTCAGCAAGATGATTTGTTTATACCAACATTGACTGTTAAGGAACATCTTATTTTTCAGGTATATAGTAATATTTATTAAATAAACTTAAAAACCAAAATAACAACAATTAGAGAAACATTTTTATCATTAATGGTAATTAGTTTTCGAAAGAACACCACACACTTTTAATGCAAATCTGGTACATACCCAGTTCTTATCTTTCTTTTGCAAAATGTTTATGTCATTATATCAATTGTTATATAAATAGAGTAAATTTGATTTGTACATTACCGGCAAATCCAAGCAATGCCGCCAAAACAGTCTCGGTCCTCCGATAAAAGTTCACGGGCCAATTCTGTCTCCGAATCTAACGAAACAAAAATGGAAAACGATTACGGTCTCACCTCAGACGAACGAATTGAACAGTTAATGGAGAAGGTATGTGAAAAATTTGCGTGCAAACTAGAAAAAAAGTTTGATGAAAAATTAGAAGATATAACACGAAATGTATCCAAGCTAATAGTTGAGTAACATTGAAAAGAAAGTACAGCAGAATGAAAAGGAAATCTGTAATATTAACGGATTTATGGATCACCTAAAAAGAAAGAACACAATAAGAATTAATGGGCTCAAAGAAAGTGAAAATTAGAGTGTTCATGATATCACTTTAGAATTTATTAACACCGCACTCAAAGTTGTTTGTACCTCCAGTGACATTGATGATATATTTAGAATTGGTATTGCAAATAAAAAGTCGGGAACTAGAACTATTTTGGTTAAATTATTATCAACAAAGAAGAAAAATGATTGTTTTCAAGCTAAAAAGGCACTCAAGCAGACTGGTATTACTATTTATGAGGACCATTCTCAACAAACGTATAAACTTTTGCAACTGGCACAGAAAAAATACGAAAGAACATTAAGTTGGACTATGGGAGGTAAGGTGTTCATACAACAAAATAATATGAAGAAAGAAATTAAATGTTTTGACGACCTCATTGATGTCCCGTAATCTTTCTTCGGAGGTTCAAGTTTATTTCGTTTCTAACGACCTTTCCTCGCGAATATTATTAGCTTAACTTTTTTCTCAATTATTGTGGAATACATTTTTATTTTAATACCTATTTCTAAATTATTTTTAAGTTTTTATAAACTCTAGATATTTTTGAATACGAAGTAGATATATACCTACTCGTAAACATTTATTTTTATTTCTTGCTTTCATTAATATGTAGTAAAGTAGCAGGATCCATTATAATCAATAATTGAAGGATAAATATTTATTTAATTTTTGTTCTTTGGTATTTACTTTAGAATAAAATTATTTATTGTTATTCTTTTCTCTCAGCAACTTAAGTATCTACTAGCGCTCTATTTGTTAATAAATTTATTTACTTAACTAATTTGCCACATATTTTACAGATTTTTTTAAATATTTAAATTGCTGGGGCCGAGAAAACGTTCTTAGAGTAACACATTTATACGCGCTAGCTCAATATCAACTTATACATATTATTTTTGTACTTAATTTTCATCTTCTACATATTTTTTACGTTTCTCGCAACGCTATATGTTTTTAAATATTTATTATCAGAACGTCAGGGGACTCCGCACCAAGGTCTCGGAGTTTAGCAAAAACTTGTCTGCAGAAGAGTATGATGTTGTTATCTTGACGGAAACTTGGCTATCAGAAGACATTAAAAATGAAGAACTATTTAGTTGCAATTACATAGTATATAGAAAGGATAGAGATAAAATTTTAACAGGAAAACAACGCGGAGGAGGTGTCCTCATTGCTGTAAATAAAAATATAATATCTTCATTTATATCAATTAACTCACCTTTGGAAACAATTTTTGTAAAACTTAAACTACACGGAACCACAGTCATTATTAATTCAACTTATATTCCACCGGGCGCAAATGCTAAAGTCTACATGCAATATCTAGATTTATTTGACAATTTAGATCCCTTAATCACTCAAACCACACACATGGTACTTATTGGTGATTACAATATACCATGCATAAATGGCACATCTTTTCAATTTTCTAATAAAAATGATATAATAGTAACAATGTCTCTATTAATGGCCACTTACAGTCTACAGACTTTCAACAATTGTCTCAATGAGCACCAAAAAACTCTAGATCTGGTGCTTGGTAATTTGAATTTGAATATAAAGGAGAATAAAGAACCTTTAGTTCCCATAGATAATAAACATCCCTCTCTGATAATTAAGACGGAAGTAAAAAAAAGTAATCAACTCACATACACAAATAATAATCTTCAAAACATATATAATTTTACAAAAGCAAACAGTTTCCGCCATGGTTCACGGATGAAATAAAAATCGACATAAAGTACAAAGAATTTTTCAGAAAAAAATTAGGGCGGACCTAAAATTGAAAATAAGGACAGCGCACAATAATTATATCCAAAATATGCAGAACTGTGTTAACCAGGACCCCATGCTTTTTTGGAAGTTCATTAAAGATAAGAGGTCTAATAATATATCTGAATCAAATTTTATTATAAATAATAGGGAAATATCTGACAAAAAAATTATAGCAGGGGAGTTCGTTGATTATTTCAGTTCAGTGTATGACAACGATTCAAACTATAACCTTATAGATATTAATGATTTGACTAACAATTGTAACGTAAATTTTTATCAGAATATTGACTTCGATCTAATATCCGTCAAAGACTTAGAAGCGGCATTTCGAAAGTTAAAACCGAAAAAGACAGCGGGTCCTGATAATATTCCTTGTTACATCCTAAAAGCTTGTAAAGATTATTTAATATACCCTTTGCTGGTAATTTTCAATAAGTCGCTTAAAACATCCGTATTTCCTAGTGAATTTAAAAGAACGAGATTACCACCAATTTTTAAAAAAGGGGATAAAAATAAAATAGATAATTATCGTCCCATAGCCATATTAAATTGTACGGCGAAACTGTTTGAATTTGTAATATATGATAAACTGTATGTTTACTTTCAAAAATACATATCAACCGAACAACACGGATTTTGTCGTAAAAAATCTGTAGATACAAATTTATTAACTTTCAGTGATAAAATATCAAAATGTGTCAATTCTCGTGAGCAAGTAGATTGTATATATACTGATTTTAAGAAAGCCTTCGATAAGGTAAATCACAATATTCTTCTAGCTAAACTGAAATATTATGGTCTTAGCGATCATCTAATAAATTTCTTTATGTCTTATCTAAAACTAAGGTATCAATACGTAATGTTTGGTGGTGAAGTATCTCATACAATCCTCGCAGGCTCTGGGGTCCCTCAGGGCTCCAATTTTCTAATATTTGTTAATGACCTTCCTCTACGTATTACATCAGACTGCCTAATGTATGCAGATGATCTGAAAGTTTTTAAGAAAATATCCACCCTAGATGACTATCTAGACCTTCAAAATGACTTAGACTCAATTTCGGATTGGTCATTTGAAAATAAATTACATTTTAATCTTTCCAAATGCAAGGTTATTACATTCAGTAACATTCGTAATCCTCAAAATTTTATCTACACAATGCAAGGATCAACACTAGAGAGAGTGTCAAAAATGACCGACTTGGAAATAGTTTTTCAAAATAATTTCAAATTTGACGAGCATATCCGTAACATTACCAAAGAAGCTAACAAATTGTTAGGTTTTTTGAAACGCACGACTAGGGACTTTACAGACACACACTCAATTAAAAATGTATTTGTTGCTCTCGTTCGTAGTAAATTAGAATATGCATCCACTGTATGGGACCCTACACAACAAAATTTAAAACAAATTTTGGAAACTATTCAAAATAAATTTGTCAAATATTTATACTTTAAAAAGTATCATACAAGTCCAGGATTTGTTTCATTTGGACCTATTAGAAAAGAGTTTGAAATTGAAAAATTGGAACATAGACGCTCTATAATCAACCTTGTCTTTTTACATAAATTATTAAATGGATATTTGGACAGTCAATATTTATTGAGTCAAATAAAAATCAATGTTCCAATAGCAGGTACTCGTCCCCGTCAATTAACTTTTCATGCAGATAATCATGGTCCAGTAGAAAAAAATTGTCTTTTGTTTAATGTACACTCCGAAGGCATTTCTTGCGGTATTTTTGATGTAGCTATAAGCACATATAGAAAGGAACTTAACAAAATTGTTGGGCTCGATTAAAGAGACATAACCTTGTAGGATTTCCGTGGCCTTGGTGTGGGGGTTTGAAGGCACTCTGATTATTCCTGAATATTTCTGATTATTTAAGTAGTTTTGTTCTCTAATGAAGTTTGTTAAATTTTGTAGTAGCGAGGTTTGTTTATTATAATTTCACTTATATATTTAATTAGATATTATGTATTTTTGTTGATTTCTTTATTCGCTGTATTTATAGGAACATGTAATTAGGCTCATGCCTGTTTGTTTCTGGAATAAATAAATAAATGTCTTCACTTTTAAACAACATTGATAAAATTGTTAAATTACTTGTTTCGGGTTGCAATTGTATACTGCTTAAAAGTTTCCACTAAATTTTCATACCTGCACGCATGCACATTCTTCTAACAAGGCCGAGATGGAAAATTTTTTTCAACACTCTAGCTTTGGTTCTGCTCACTAAACTAAAATTTTAATGATTTATAGGCACTCGTTCGAATGGACCGAAATATTGCATATGTAGATAGAATGAAAAGAGTTGAGGAAGTTATATCAGAGGTAAGTTTTTCGATGTTATGGATAGGACAAACATGAGACGTAATAACTTTTTTATTTTTCAGTTCGTTCTAAAGAAATGCGAACATACTCAAATAGGTTTTACAGACCAAGGTGGACTCTCAGGAGGAGAAAAAAAGCGACTTTCTTTTGCAGCTGAAGTTTTAACTAACCCCGTTTTGATGTTTTGCGACGAACCCACTTCAGGTTGGTTAATTTGCAATTTGTATGTCGTTACATTTTGCTTCTGTATATGTTTGATTGATGGTGTATCTCATTTTTGTATTAGAATAATCTAGATCTAGAAATGTTTATTCAAGAGTGTTATTTTGGTTAAGTAAAGTATATTTAAAATAAATTAAAAAAGGAGGACGATGGTAGGAAGAAGATAAGGTAGAAAGGAGACCATAATTACCCATTTTCTGTATTGAAATGTACACTGTAGAATGTCGAGGGAAGAACACTAAAAACTTTGACAACGAAGCAACTATAAGTCTACTAAGTATGGCTTTTCTGTTTTAACCCTTTAACAGCTTGCTTATGGTATATTTTAAAGCAAGGGAAAATGTATAGTCGAACAGTACAATGAATGCACATAACCTGCGTTTCTTTTCCTTTTTTTACCCTTGTTAGCATATGAACAAACCCAACATCTTCTAAAAGCAAATTTGCTGTTCTGCGTCAACCTTGCATTTCTAGGACCATAAGTAGTATTTCACGCCAATAAGCAGGTTCGCTGAGAAGACAAAATTCGGCTTAATTCACGGACTGCTGTCGCCTATTTCCGTCACTGCCGTCCTATTACGGCATCAGTCTGTACAGCAAGCACAGGAACGACTGATAGGTTCCAACACCCGACTGGGTAACAAGTTAAGTTTTATGATATGTTTGGTATAAATGACATTTGTTTAAATAGTATTTTCAGTTGATGTCGTCCATACACGACAGCCGCCGGGAGGACACTTTTTTTATGTCGTCTAGACACGGCAGTCGTACTGAAAGGGTTAAATAATATAGATGTCACGAGCATTGCTACTATTTGCATACACAAGTCATAGAATCAATCATGAAAGATGTGCTTTAGTCTCAGTTAATAATGGATACATTGCAATACTAATCAGACTGCACGACAGAGGCGAATATCATATTAAAATCGCCAATACCATTAGAACAAAAAATAAATTTAGATAGGTAAACATAACGTCAAAGAATCCCCTAGTGTCGTAGGACTAATTATTAAGTAATGACGAAAAATAAAGCGAGTTGATTAATTTAAAACGTCAGTAGAGTTTGGTAAGTAAAGCTATTAGACCACCAACTTTTGATGACTGGATACTATTGGCAACATGTCGTTGTGAGTTTGAAACAGCAGTAGACGCTAACTCATGGATAGACGAGAAACAAACGCAACAAGTATTATGCAACTATTATAATATCATGAGAAACGTAACTATTTTGACATGATCCAGAAATTGGACACTAGAAAATTGTCAAATTTAAGTTAAAATTCATATACAAAATGCCAACAGAAAAATATCCAAGAATATTAAGTTGACGTATAAAGATAACTAGATATCAAAGAACTCAAATAGATTAGAATACATTTTATCTATGAAGGCTATGTTTTTTTCAACCTCCGGTCGCACAGTATGGAGACCAGGCATGCGGCAGATGGTTGGCGTGCGTAGTAGGCGCCTACCACTTCCACCGTCCTCATACTATGTCACTGCCGAATCCAACAATTTCTTGTTGAGCTGCACTCACGTAAACATGGCTGCTTGTATTGATTCTCCCTCCAAGTGTGAATTGCAAAGTGTTACTTATTTCTTACAGGCAGAAAGTAATAGAGCAGCGGAAATTTATCGAATGCATAAGTCGCGTGTACGGAAAGAGCTTACGTACAGCTATTCAAAACAAAATAAGAAGCATGCTGACTTCTGGAATTGTTTTGATCCATAACAATGCCCGTCTTCATAGTGCTCGTGTAATCCAACGGCTCCTTTAGCCTATGGAACCTTTTTAAACACCATATAGTCTCGACCTAGCTCCAAGTGACTACCATCTTTTTCCTGAACTCAGGAAGTGGCTTGGGACACAGCGCTTCCAAACTGACGGGAAACTCAAAGAAACCATCACAAGATATCTAAATTTGGGACAAACATGTGAAAATTGGCACCTAACAACACTTTTACTTATAGCACATTACGTGTTTCGGGAGTCGGGACCTATAGATTTTTTTCTCCTGTCTAGTATCTCTATTTAAACCCAAAGTTTACGTGCAAAAATTTCCACTTATAGAATCCGCTATAGCATCAGTTATTGATCTGAAGCAATGTATTGCTAGGGCTACAGTCAACTCAATTGATCCTAATATTCCATTTACCGTTAAAACAGATACCTCGGAACATACCATAGCAGCATCTTTATCACAAGATGGACATCCGGTAGCATTTTTCGCAAGGACTTTATCTGAGTCTGAGAAAGGTCATTCCATTATAGAAAAGGAAGCATACGCGATAGTTGAGTCTTTACGTAGATGGAGGCATTTTCTGATTGACAAGACCTTTAAACTGATAACCGATCAAAAGTCCGTAAGCTTCATGTTTAATCATCCAAAATAAAAAATGAGAAAATATTAAGGGGGCGTTTAGAACTGTCATAAAAATATGCCCTATTGAGTACTCTATAGACGATATTAATAAAATTACCTCATCTTATCGAATATGTCAAGAACGCAAACGAAGGTCCCATACCGACGAACACAAACAATCGTTATCTATTGACTATAGTAGATGAATTTTCAAGATTTCCCTTTGCATACCCTTGCCCAGATTTAAGCTCAAAAATAGTCATCAACTATTTAGTTGATTGTTTCTCTGTTTTCGGTTTACCCAGCTATATCCACTCCGACCGAGGGACCTTTTTCTTATCAAGAGAAGTCCAGCAATTTTTAAGGGAAAGAGGAGGGGTTGCTACGAGCTTTACAACACCATATAATTCAAAAGGCAACGAGCAAATAGAAAGATATAATGGAATCATATTCAAGTCTGTTCAATTAGCCTTAATAACGAGGAATTGGGACTTGACATTTTGGGAACTGGTACTGAAGAAAGCTTTACATTCTACTAGGTCGCTATTAAGCACGGCAACAAACGAGACCCCGCATGAAAGGATGTTTGCACACCACAGAAGATCTGCGAATGGCCAGTCAGTACCATCATGGCTTTAACCTAGCCCCATATTAGTGAAACGTTTCGTCCGACAAAGTAAATTGTTACGGTTCAAAATCCATATGAATGTACTGGGATGCTTTTACCACAAAAATAATATATATAGTATTGGCATTTAACTTTTAATTTACTCTAATTTATTATTTAAGTATAATAGGAATAAAATCTATTAAAAGCTCACTCCGTATACACCGTTTTGGCTAGAAGATTATTAGGAGATCCATTTCTCATGTTCTGTGAGTTAACTAGAATGAAAAGATACCTTTTATATTGTCAAATTGGAAATTGTAGAAGTTTAACCTTTTATCAAGTGTTTCTTTCTTGTTTTGAATATCCGTTCTGGTCCTCTATAGATATATTTTCCATTGTTTTTCTTAAATTAGTTTGTAGTTAAATTCTAGGAGCCTAAAAGGGACAAAGAAACGTTTTGAATTCTATAAATGGTTTCAGGGTTCATTTTCTTTGTTTATTTACATTAATTATGACATTATGTCATTCAAATTTATTCAGGTGATTGTCTAAATCATTACAAATAATTAAAACCCCAAATAATCTAGGTAATTTTGGCATTAAGTAGGTGATTGTGAGAAATTGGCTAATAATATTTTAAATTACCTGTCATATTTTATTTTCACTTCCTGTAGAAGTCATTAATTTTGTCGGTGCATATCCTTTCCACCATTTTTCATTCTTCTGGTATCATACCTTCATGGAACATGTGTTTTTGAAGATCTTTTTATAAGGATATAAGATACTAGAAGCGAAAAGACATTGAAAATTTGATAAGTATTGCTATTTGTTGGTATACTTGATCTCGCAAGAGGATTTTATTTTCAATTGAACAAAACTTACTTCTTAAAAAGGCCACCTTTCACCTCAGGTAACGTAATTTCTCATTTATCACTTATTTGTCCTTGCTTAATATAGGATTGTATATTTAAAGTAGTATTTTGTATTTTAGGCCTTCTCTTCTATTCCATTCCATTCTATTCTATACTATTCTGTTTCCATTTCTGGCTATCGTAGTCACAGATAGTTACTTTTCATTTTTATTACGTACAATTCCGGACATAACATTAATCTGAGGTAGTCTCAAGGAGCTGTATTTGAGAACCTTACTATTGGATAGAAGTAAACGATTGGGACACCATTTTCATCCCTTACTAACTGGAGTTACTACAAATGAAGGATATTTTAATTAGAGATTAAATAAGTGGACCTACTCGTATCTTTGGATCCAATCTTGTCAAGTCACCCTTCCAAAGAGGTCTTCGAATTCAACCCTCGCCTATGTAAGAGTGACAATCTCCAAGGTAGGAATTTTCTGATTATACCAACTCAAGTCCATCAGTTAGAAGGTGTTATCACACGAAATATCTCCACCCTCAGTGTTTGGGAATATTCTGAAAATTGTACATATAATTAACCAATTTTAACCTTTTAGTTTGTAAATATTAAAGTCATTTATTTTGTGAGTCACCAAGATAGATATCTATTTTAACCGGTACATAAGCTGTATATATATTAAATTCCAAGGACTTACCTATTACAACCAAAATATAGCTAAAGTTTGAATAAAACATCAAAATTCTCCTCTCATAGCTAATAAACACGTTTTATTTATATATCATAACCTTTTAAAAATCATTCAGAATTCTTCTTCTTCATTTGCGGTGTACATAAAATTTATCCAGGTAATAATCGATTATATCTCGGTACAATCGGTCATTCAGCCAATTTCGAGGACAAAAGGGAAAAATTCACCTACGACCCACTCTGACTGAGCAGAGATAATTAATAATTCCACATCAATTTTGTTTTGCTCTGAAGGTCATAGCAAAATATGACCCCATAGTAGATGAGGTCGAACTTCTTTAACCCAATCCGTTTTACTCACTGGTTCGCCTACAAAACGGCAGAGAAGTTAATTTCAAACAGACATCTAGCCCCAACCCAACAAGAAGAGATAAATGTAGATAGTAGTGAAGATAGTAATGTAGATTTGGAACCTCAAGTGCAAGTCGAGAACCCTTTAACTGAAATGCCAACCATCCCGGAATGATCCAACCATCGTTGCGAAACTTCTGAACAGTCTGCAGATTAATGCCAAGAATTGCGTCGTTCTGAAAGAACCCGATCTAGACCCAAGTACCTGGGCGATTATTTTTAACGTGGGAAGAATGTGGTGAATTGTCCTTTATTATGTTTTAATTTTCACTTATTTAATATGTTATTGATTTATATGACAATGTCAATTTAGTTGAATAAAGCCTTATATTTTCGGGTTAAAACCTCAATTCCACTACACCAAAACAATCAAGGGTATTTACACAGTTCCAAACCATCTTTGAGTCAACTCGATTAGAGCTCGCGGCCTTAAGAGCTGCCTGGCTATTTAACTGCAATATATTATTTAATCTTATTTTTATTATTTTTATTTACTTTGCACAAAACTGACATAGAATTATTATCCATTAATTTAGGTCTAGATTCTTTTATGGCTCTCAACGTACTACAGGCTTTAAAAAACATGACACAAACAGGAAAAACCGTCATTTGCACCATTCACCAACCTAGCTCTGAGCTGTACGCTATGTTTGACAAACTGATGTTGATGTCTGAAGGACAAGTGGCATTTTTGGGGACATCAGAAGAGGCTGATCTGTTTTTTCGAAGGTACTTTGATTAATCTGATAAAACATAACCGTATGATTCTGATTCTTTTTTAGTTTGCAAGCACCATGTCCAAGAAATTACAACCCAGCAGATTATTATATTCAGTTACTGGCTGTAGTACCAGGAAGAGAAGAGTCATGTAGACAAGCCGCGGCTTTGATTTGTGAAAAATTTTACAATTCTCCAATTGGCATAAGACAATTTGTTGAGTCAGCTGTTATTGTAAGTAAAGAGAAAATGTTCAATTACATTGCGTGTCAGAGAAAATTTTAAATATTTCTGATTTTTATCGTAATAAAACTATTGGGTATTGAGTCAATAATTCTTTTAGCATTTAATCCAAGGTTATCATGAGTTACAATTGAAAAATTTATTGAAAAATTATACTTACAGAATACAGTACAATAACCGAAACAGAGAGAAAATAAATTAACACATGCTAAATGTCTGTCTATGGAAAATTAGTAAATTTCCCAATAAAGGCCAATCGGAGCTCTTTAGATGTTGTTGGAGTAGGTGTGCGACGTTATATTCGCCTTTTAAGCTAGTCCCAAATACGCTTAATAGAATTAAGTTTCGGATTTTGAGCTGGACAGTTCAGTTTTGGAATATAAACCTCTTCAAAGATATGTGTTATCATCTTTGTCCTGCGTTATCCTGCATTAGCAGAAAACCATTGACAAGAAACCCATCACTATTATATCTTCATGCTGTTAATATGCCTCCGTCGATTCAGGTGAGATTCGTGTACATCTCAAAAGAAATTCCTATCCAAAACATTGCTAAGCCACCCCCAAAAGCAACCCAAGGTGACGAGTGCAGACACCGTAACGTTGTCCAGCTCTTCGTAAACCTTATTTCAGCCACCTCTTCCATAAATACGCTTTCTATTCTTATCCATGAGCAATACGTTTTCCAGCTGTACATTGTCCAATTGATGTGATGCGGACAAAAAAACTTTTAAATATGAAACTATATCCGTTCCTACTGATTTTGGTAGTTTGTGAACAAAATTGATAATATACATGCGAGTTAAGATGAAATAATTATAATGTATTTTGTAGAGCACTCCAGATACAGACACATTAGATACAATATGGTTTACTGGAGAGAACAAGTCGCCCTACAAAGCATCATGGTGGACACAATTTCGTGCTGTGTTGTGGAGATCTTGGTTAAGTTTGATGAAAGATCCTTTAATTATCAAAGTTCGAACTTTTCAAACCATGGTAAAGAATCATTTAATAATCAACGTTATTGGAAAATAATCAAGTTGTTTTATAATTTTTTAGATGACGTCTTTACTAATAGGTTTAATTTACTATGGACAAGAAACGAATCAAAATGGCGTAATGAACATAAATGGAGTTTTATTTATATTTTTAACTAATATGACTTTCCAAAATGTATTCGCAGTTATTCATGTAAGTAGTGATTTATTTTAAAATTTAAAGCTGCAGTATAATTTTTCCTACGACTACTCAGAAAGTGACACCTATCGCACCATTTAGTCTTATACGCGTGTGGATAAGAATCTACCTTCCACCCATGTGTGAATATGAATCTACTTTCCGCATAATGTCTAATAACAAAAAGTATTTGATGATTAAATTGTTAACATTAGTTTTTATATCTAGATATTAAATATTTATTTTTAACAAGAAATATAAAATTATTAAGAAAAATTTAAAGTAACTACCAACATTATTTTGTTTTTTTCCTGGTTTATGTACATCTTTGATTAGATAATTCAAATGACATAACTCTCATAGCGCAAGTCGTAAAGTGTTCAACTTTTTTTATTTTTTTTTTTTTTTTAAATTAAACTATTGTTATTTTTATTTATTTTAAATACATATTATTTACCATAATTTAACTCCTACAGTTAATCTCTTCGCTATTTATTTTGTACTATTTTAATTCCTGTTCAAAAAAATTGTAAATATATAAGTGGGTAATCATTAATAGAGGAGAAGGTGTTAATATGAAACCTTAATTTGTTTTCCTTTTATAAACCGAAAATGTTTATGATTATACATAAACATTATACATAAACCAATTTAAAATTATAGCGATATTTTGCATGTTATACACAGTTTTCTCAAAATACTCAAAATCGGCCTTCGAGGAACAAGGCTGGTAATGCGGACCCTCTTAAAAAAGAATTCCTTTATTTAAAAATGCATTAATAACATAAGTGGCACATTAATTAGGCACTGAATCCACAGTTCACCTCATATGTATTTAGAAAACATCTGATCACAAAATAGGCACACAGCGTCATCCTCTGCTGATGGAACTTCTCCAGGTGGAATGATCATATCATTGGAAGAACCTGAAGAAACACTGCTAAGGCCATTTTGATCAGAGTCGGACGATTCAGCAGGTTATTTATTTAATGTTTTACGACAACTTCCAATATCTGTGTAGATTTTTGATCTCTTAAGCCCATAGTTGGAATTTTGGTGACTTCCGCGACCTCTTCTAGCAACAGTACCTCTTCCTTAGCGAAGACTAGAGATCTTTTTTCATCCATCAAATTTAGTGATTGATGTCTCTAATTCTATTTTGTAAGGGGAGCTGGTTAAAACTGCAGCAGAAGAAGCTTTTTCTCCTCTCTTTGACATTTTTTCTTCGGTAGTGGAACTGGTAAAATTACTGCAGGTGAAACGAGGGTATGCGACGTATTTGGTCTCACATCTGGAGTTGAACTGCATCCTGCTTCTGTCAGATCAATTTCGCTGATCTGAAAGTTATGGGTACCGGTTTAAAGCGAGTTTCTAGCTGCAGTTCAAGAGGAAACAGGATTAGCTGCAAAATTATTTAAAGTCCGCTCACTGGAAGTCTCAGACAAGGTATCGTGCTCATCAGCGATGAATTCTGGCTCCGTGAAAACGGTAAATCCCTGTTCTCGAAAAACAATTTATTGCTATGCTTGCTGTTTGATAGTTTACATTGGCTTTTCCAAAAAGTTCAGCAATATCATAAGGTCCCAGAGGAAGTTCACTGTGACGCTGCCATATTCGAATTGCTTCACTGTAATAACTCTTCAATGCCCTCATAAAGGTTTTATCCAAGGGATGCACTCTATGTGTGGCGTGAGGAGGAAAGCAGATTATGGTAATGTAGTTTTCTCTTGCCAGGTCTATAATTTCAATATTTTGCGTATGCGAGTAAGTAAGTAATACTGAAGACTCTTCCGAAGGTTTAGTATATTTTATGATAAGCTTAAACCAGTCAGTAAAAAAAATGATTTTTACCCAGCCTGAAGGACGACATCTACCTAAAGTTCCAGCAGGTGCCCCACGCATAAGAGTTTCAGTCATATTTTTCCGGGGATAATTCATCATAAGAGGTATAAATGTACTTATACAGCAAATAACGGTTACTAATGAACCTCTTTCAGCGCACCGATTAGTCGTTTGCCTTTTAACCCTATGATCTGAGGTATTTTGCTTTGTACTATGGACAAACCCGTCTTATCCACACTGAAAATACGGTCCGGTTCATATTTTTTCCGGTCATATTCCATTGCAAGAATATCAAAAAATTTACTGATGGATTCTTTATTAAAGCTGTTGGCTCTGGCGTAAGAAGTTCCAGTAGGCTTACGAATAGACAGTGTATCTTTATGACGCAGTAAGAAATTGTCCAACCAAGCACGACCAGCCTCTGATTTGTCACCAAATGGATGATTGATTTCGTTTCTTACAGCTAGCCGATAAGACATTATTTTAACGTTACGGCGAGTAAATCCGTAATATTTGCTCTCCATCAAAAGCAAATATTTTATTAAATCATTTTCAATGTGTATGGGAAGGACTGGTTTCGTACCCAGCTTTTTTTCGACAAATTCCTCTGGTGTATATGCTTCATCGTGTACAAGTCGCTGGAATGTTGTTTTCGGCACGTTAAACCTTTTCAGAGCTTTCTTGAGCCCAATTGTGCCCAATTTAACAGCTTCAGTCATAGAATTCTTGTCTCATGTTTTCCTTTTGGATTTGGTTTTCGGTTATAGTAACCTACGAGGCATCTCGGCACCTGCAATTTAACACATCCTTAAATGTTGTTTTTAATATGACACCTTTTTATATAATATGGAACCCTGCTCTATATTACAATCACCCTGCGGGTTCCATATTATCAAATCACATGTATCAATTAATAGCTTAGCAAAATTTTCTGAAACATACGAAATGCAAACTTACCTATTAAGTTGTCACAAAAAAACCTTGTGAGTTACGTGTTGCTAAAACTGCTATATAGACAATAAATACTTCCTGTAAATAACTTTTATCTTATCATACTTTTATAAATTTTCCTAGAGATAAACATAGGTGTGGATTAAATGTAAATATTTACATCATTCTTTAGCTTGATTTTGATCAATAAAGACACATTAAAAGTAGTTTTTAATTTTTTAAAAAATAATTTTCTATAAAGAAAATTAAAACTGGCGCAGACAGTAGGATTCGTGCGAGCTGTGAACACTGTGTAAATTCGAGAAAATCGTTTTCTTCGAGTGATAGACTTGGACTTTTAGTCACTATCGTGCAGACTTTCACGGTTTTAACGTGTTAACGTTTTAAGCGCGAATTCTAACCAACGGTTCCCATCTGTGGAAAACCAACTATCAGCCCTTCAGTGGACATCCCAAAGTAAGCGAAGAATCGGAGAAGAGGATTTTGGAAGCCAGTTTCTTCTGCAAACGTAAGTGCCAAATTTTCCTTTTTTCGCCTTTCCCACCATTCATAGGTTTCGGAAAGATAATTTAAGTTGAATATTAATTTTTTATACACGCATATGTTTTAATTTTTGATGAACGATTTTGATACTTTAGTCGGAGCTTTTAGTTATATCTCAATTAGTGAAAGTAATTCAGATATAAGAAATATGACGCCAACACCTAGTAATTCTACCCCTCAACGGGCCCAAATTAATTGGGACCTTTTCAAATCTAAACTAAATAATATCAAACCTTTTAATGGTGAAAGTGATTATTTAAATAAGTTTATTACTAGATGTGAGAAGTTTATTGATTCTTATAAGATTTATAATGATGTAGAAATAAACATACATGCATTTGAATGTGTACAAGAAAAATTAGAAGGTCGTGCCGAATTTATGGTAGGCAATAGAGTAGAAATTGATACTTGGCCAAAATTAAAAGATGCTTTGTTACAAGCTTTTGCAGATCGACGTGATCTTGATTGTCTCGTCCAAGAACTAACAAGGACTAAACCTCTTAAAGGTGAACACCTTATTGATTTTGGCAGTAGATTACAATTAATTAAAAGTAGCGTAGTACAGAGAATAAGCAATGATCTTTACATTGATCAAAATGATAAAATTTGTCAAATTAACCATTATAATAAGACAGCCTTAAATACTTTTATAGCTGGTTGTAGTGGAATTCTAAAAAATAACATGCACCTTAAAAAACCAGATTCTTTAGAGGATGCTATGGCGTACGTAAAAGAATTTAATAATTTCCAAGATTTATACGGAAACATAAATGACAGAAATCTTCAACAAAATGGATTTTATTCTAATAATAACAGACAAACTTTTTCAAAAAATAATACAAATTTTAATCAAAATCAAAATTTTAATCAAAATCAAAATTTTAATCAAAATCACAATTTTAATCAAAATCACAATTTTAATCAAAATCACAATTTTAATCAAAATAGATTCCAAAATTTTGTACCAAATAATCAACAATTAAATACACGTTTTCAAAATTATCCAACAAACAGGCAAAATTTCCCTAGTCAGCCAATTAATGTAGAACCCATCCCACAAAATAAAAAATATTTTACAAACCGCCAGGTATTTGGCCCACAAAAAAATGTCTTTCGACCAAATCAGATTTCTGAAAGTCAGTTACCAAAACCAGTGGCGATGTCAACAACATCGCGAAATCCTAGTTTACAAACAAGAAGACCATTTAATTATAATAATAAATTTTTCCAAAACTCTAATCAAAATTCAAAACCAAATTTTGTTTTTGAAGAGTTACATTCAAATCAATATAGTGATTCTAACCCTAAATTTGAATATGATACAGATTTGTACCATAATGATTGCGATAATTTAGATCAATACCAAAGTCAAAATCATGAATTTGATAATGAACAAATTTTTAATGAACATAAAAACGAAGAAGACAGCTTAAATCAAAATTTTCGGGCCGCCAGCCTGTCAAAAGTAAAACGATAATAAAAATAAATAATTTTTTTACAAAAAACCCTTTACCGTACATAGAAATTTCTCATCCTAGATTAAAATTACTGATTGATACAGGCAGTTCCGTATCAATAATTAAACCCTCTGTTATCGAAACATTTTATCCAGATACTATTTATCACTCAAATGTTGTAATAACAACAAGTTGCGGTAGTAAGAATTTAAGATATCAAGC